TATCTCCAATTCCTAATTCGCATGTGAAACTGTTTCTATTGCTGTCAACTATGATTCTTAAAATATGAGTTATTTTATCTTACTTTTACAATACAATATCATTTTTTCAATCAATTCATCCCAAACCAATAATAAATATCATTAAACGTAAGCGGATTTATTTATGAAAGAGAAGCAAATATATTTTAAAAGAAATATCATTCTTTTCTTTGATTCATTAGATGAAACGAACAAAAAAAATTATTTCTCCTGTAGATAAAATTGGGGAATTTTTGAACTGGATTATAGGCGAACCTATCTACTCCTGTTGAGGAAAATAAATAGTAAATAAAATTTCAGTGTTTCGGCGGATACATTAGAAATATAGAGTGGGAATAGACTTTGGAAAGAACCGTAAACCAAATCCAAAACAGGAAACAAGGGATAAGTCTCTGCTCTTGTTTCAAAAGTGATTTAAGTGTCAAAATTCGTTCTTTTTGAACGGTAGTAGGGATTATAATAACAAAGTAAAATTTTAGAACATACAACTTTTAACAGATTCTAACAGATTAAACCAGATGAAACAAAGATTAACTTACCCAATCCCAGTTCCTTTACAACCGATGTATCTTTGTTCTTGACTACGTTCTTTCAGCATGTTGTCTAACTGTTGGGAAAAAAATCATATTCTTTATTACAAAAAATGGAGTATACATTGGGCTAAAATGAAAAATAATAATCTGTTCGGTACATCGAGTAGATTTTTTCAGAAAATCTTTTAAATGATTTCTATGTCCTGTATTTCAAAGAACACATTTTTATTTTAACTTTTTTTGTTTTTAAATGTTAATTTTATATAATTTATTACGTACAGTATAAGTTTTTTTTGTGAACCGTATCAATTGAAAAGTCGGGTAGATGAAATTTAGCTCGACTTAAAGTCGGCAAAAGAAAGTAGGAGCCTTAACTCGTCGACTGGAGGGTTGGGTGAGGATTGTGACTGCATTAGTGTTGAGGAAACATGACGTCAACCCTTTTTATTTAGTGCAATTTAACTTGTGTAATAACGTATCTTCTTTTTTTTCAGACAATACCGTGTTAGTATCAAACTACTCTAATCTATGAACGATAGTTGACTTAGATTTTGCAATGAAAGGTCGTGGAAATGAGGACATTGGTGAATTTCAACGCGGGCAAATAATAGGATGGCATCAGTGTGTCAAATCAAATAGAGAAATTGCTAGGTTTTTCCAGGTTAATCAGTAAACAGTTAATAATATTGACAAGAAATTTAATGAAGAAGGCCATTGTCATGTGGAAAAATGTTCAGGAAGACCAAACATCGTTTCTGAGCGAACGAAAAGGGCGCTGAAGATGGAAGTCATCAGAAACCGCCGTCGTAGCGTCAAAGATGTCGTCAACAGCATAGAAATGTCGCCATATGCGGTGAGAAAGACTCTGAAGGAACTAGGCTACCAAAGAAGAGTTTAAAGAAAGAAGCCCTTGATTTCAGAGGTTAACAGGAACAGGCGTATGGACTGGGCGAGAGAATTCGAGAGCAAAGATTATGAATTTTGGCAGTCTGTAATTTGGTCAGATGAAAGTAAATTCTGCCAATATTCGAATTCGAGACAGGTGCATGTTTGGAGAAATCAGAATGAGACTTGGAACACTGAATGTCTGCAGGCGACTACGAAAATACGAGGGATTGGAGTAATAGTGTAGGACGCTGTCTGGTTTGGAAGGAAATCTGAGCTGATTCTTGTTGATGAGTGGGTTAGTAATCCAAAATACTGTCAAATATTAGAGAAAGGACTACTTCCACGATTTGAAACCCATCAGATTGACAAGAATGTCTACATTTATCAAGAAAATGGAGCGTCATGTCATGTGAGTAAAGTAACAAAAGACAGGAAGGAAAGGAATCGGTGCCATGGGAATCCCAAAGTCCTGACATGAATCCAATAGAGCACGTTTGGGTAGCCTGATACCGAAAACAATGAGAGCGTGCAACCAAAATCCCGTCAGTGGCAACCCTTAAAGAAACATTGCTAAAGGAATGGCGAAATATGGATCAGACGATAGTTGATAACTTGATCAAATCCATGAAAAATCGAATACAAGCACTGAAACTAGCAAATGGAGGACCTAAATTAATAAAGTTCCAAATACTGTTTTATTTATTTTGAAATTTGATTAAATGGAGTTTATCTTTATTTCTCCTTCGGCATGTCCTTTTCTTCAACCACTGTATACAAAACAAACTCGAGAACTTTACAATCGTTGTTTTTCTTAAATTTTAGAAAAGATTTAATTAAAAATAAATGTTTATTTCATAGAATTATAAAATTAATATTAAAATAAAAAAAATGCTTTTTTTAATTTCATGCGAGAAATTTTTTATATATGATACAATAATAATAATAATTTAATAATGGACTCTTCCGTCGGTTTCGACGTATGAGGATCTGACCAGCTTATTGATTCAGTTATGAAAGAAAGAAAATGCGATAATCTTAAATAATTAAGACCCGCTAGTGATTTACAAAGGAGGCCACATAAATGGAGCTTAAGAAAAAAGTGTGAGGATTGTGAGATGAGATCACTGTTAGATTGGTTGAATTTTTAGATCTTGCTCTCACTTCTAGAAGATGATTCAGACAAGCAGATTGAAAATTTGCTGAGTCCATAAAACAAGTTGATCTCCATTCTAATGCTCCAAGGCTTTCCCAATTTCAAGGGTGTTATGTGGTATATTGACTGCTGGCAAGATGCTTTTCAGCTTGTCTTTGTATCTTAGCCATGGGCGTCCTAATTTAACCCCCTGATCTAATATCATGTACATTAGGATATATATATATATATATTAGATCAAAAGATTTTTGAAAATTGTAATAAAAACGACAAACATTTTAAGGCTTTTATTCGTCTAAATATGTTAGATAAATACACACACACACACACACACATAAATATAATATATATATATATATATATATATATATATATATATATATATATACTAGCAGCATAACCCGGCGTTGCCCGTGCTTGATTCAAAAATCGTACGACTCATACAGCAATCGCTGTATTTGACTTAAAATATTTTTTGCCCTTCCTTGCCTTTTAAAGGAGTGCCCTTTGCCGTGCTGATGTTGCTACATGCCTTACTTCTTGCCTATCTCACACTGCAAATTTTTCTAAGCTCTATACTAAACATTAAATCTGTTACGAAAAAAGAACTAAACAAAATGAACACAAAACGATCAGCTTTAAAAAAGGACTCGTAAATGGAAAAACCGAATGAAAAAAGAATGTTAACAACAAATACTTTTTCACACCCAACCCAGTTCTGCGGAATCAGAATCAACGTTGAGTTTAAGCAAGCGAATGAGCCAATTGGAGTAAAGTGCCATGCAGATTTAAATTTTTCCATTTGACGAATGCAGCTATCGATTTTTTTGCATGCTAGCATCGTCTTAACATTTCGTGTCAGTCAGCTGTTGAAATAAATGCTGGCCAATAGAATCTTCCTGCCTATTCGTGGCTTCAGCTATAGGCTCTCACCTGGCCAGTAAAAATGTCCCGCAAACTACATGAAAACTGCCGTAGAAGCATGAAAAAATCGATTATTTCCACTATCGATGGGGTTGGGAAATTCAAAAGGTCGATATTATCTTTTTTAGCTAACTTGGAGCATGTGCATGTAAATTTTGGTGAAAATCCGTCGAAAATTGTGGCCGTGCATTCGTTACACACACATCCAGCCTTTTTTATATTTATATATATATATATATATATAAACCTTATAAAATGTGTGTGTTTGTGTGTGTGTGTTTATGTCGCTAAATATTACGGACAATGAAAATTGAAATGAAAATTTCTTTTTTTAGTTTTCCACCGTTTTCTTTTTTTTTCGTTTATTGGGTAATTTAAGAATGAAGACATTAATTGAATTATAATGGTGATTACGAATTAATGGCAACTTTCGGAAAACTTTTTCTTTTGACATTTTTGTTAAGAAAAGAATTCCAGAAGTTATTTTTAGAAAAAAGGCACAAGACTCAACATTTTTTATATCAAATGCCTTGATAAGTTAGTAATTTCTTGGGCCAAGAGGGTGGCTTTTAAAGACAACTTGTCTGACAAAAGGTTCTGGACCATCTTGTTTAAAAGCACAAGAACCCAATCATGGTATTTCAATTTTAAACCACATCATCTTTACATCTGTTTAGAAAAAACTCCCAGACGGTGTGTTTTGATTATTAAAAGTGGAGTGCAGTTGATGTTGAGAGACCAGCAAAACGTTTATGATGATTCGCAAAAGTAAAACAACAAAGACGAACTGAAGGCAAGGATTTAAATGCATTGAGAAAATTAAACAATTAAAAAAGGTAAACATCTCCAGAAGATTTTGCAGGAGATTTGAATTTTGAGGATGCTGTGGTTGAAGCCATTTTGCAGATTTTATTAAATAAATTTTTCTTTAGTAAAAAAGATATTTTTGTCAATTTTTGGTAAATATATCCGTTAAAATGCGATGTCATTATTATTTTCATTTTTAGTCATTTTATATGACAATTTATCCATCGCAAAATTATATTTAGAAACCATTTAGATAGATAGATACAAATTGAACAGAGAAAGAAAGAAAAAGAATATAGATAGATAGATAGATGAATAGATAGACAAAGATAGATAGATAATGAACAGACAGATAAAGAAAGAAAACATGAAGATAGATAATGAACAGACAGAGAAAGAAAGATAGATAAATAGATAGAAAAGATAGAAATTAACCTATTTTTTATGTTTAGATAGATAGATAGAATATCCTTTGAGATAAAAAGATAGATAGTCAAAAAGATTCAAGATTGAGATCCATGTTGATACATTGCTAGAGAGATTAGGATAAATAGATTTGAACAGACTGATATAGATTGTTACATAGATAGATATATATAGACGGAGAAATAGATAGATAAAAAAATAGATAGATAGACAGATAGATAAAGATAGACTTAGAGATAGATAAATTCTTTATAATAGAAAGAGAAATAGATATGGATTAGATAGATAGATAAATCGATAGATAGATAGATAGATAGATAGATAGATAGATAGATAGAAATAGATAGATTGTCCAATAGATAGATAAAAAAACACAGAATATAATAGATAGGATGATAGATATTAGATAGATAGATATATAGATAGATAGATAGATGAGAGAGAGAGAGAGAGAGAGGAAGGAGAGAGATCTGTTAAAAGGAGACGTCAGTGTTATTTTTTATTTTTGCGTCATTTAAATGACAATTTATCCGTCGCATCTCGGAATTGATAAATGAAACGTTCACTGACTTATCTTCCAACGTCATTTTGCAGATAAACATCCCCACTCCGCTGGATAAGATGTATTTGAATTGTTCGCTGTATTCATTATTTTAATACTGAGTAATATGTCTGGAAGAAAATACTTACATTAATTTTTAAAAATTTATTTGAGAATGTTGTCAAAATTGGACGGAAAAACAGCAAAAATCATATAAATTTATGCTTAGATTTAAACATAATGCCATTATCGTAAAAATTTTTAACGAAAAGAAATTATCATAGAAAAACTACGAAGCATCGACCAAGAGATTTGAAAGCAGCTTATACAATAGAACAAAGATAAACTATCGATAAAGAAGGCATCTAGAGCAGAACAAATAATGAATGAATGCAATGCAAAATTGGAATAGATACAGGAAGATAAATACAAATTAACCTTTTCTTTATAATAGGAATAGATGGGTTCGACTTTCGACCTCGCTCCTTCCCGGCCTTTTCAACAGGTGTGGAGGTCTATCTATTCTTTATTGTTTAGGGTTGGGTTTCCGGTTCCTTCTAAAGTCTACTTCAGCTCTGTACGTTTAACGTCTCCGCTTAAAATCCTGAACTTTTATTTACAATTCATTTATATTTTTCCCTCAACAAGAATAGATAGGATAGCCCATCGTCACGTTCACACTCCTTCCTCGGCTTTTGACCACGGCTTGAGTTCTATCCATTTTTTCTTGTTCAGGATTGGGTTTCCGGTTCCTTCTAAAGGTAATTCAGCTTGGAATAAAAAGCCTCCTCCTAAAACTGAATATTTATTTTTACGGATTTAATTTCTTCCTCAACAGGAGTAGATAGATTTATCGCCCCTTCCCATAATTTTGAACAGGGGTAAAGGACATCTATTTTTTCCCTGTTTCATTTCCTTCTAACGTACTTCAGCTCATTACTCCTAACGCTTCTACATTCTTGGATTAATTCATTTTTACACAGTAACTCTATGACTATTTCTGCCTTTCCGAATTTTTTATAGAGAAAATATTTCTATAAAGAAAAATCATTATGGCTAAACTCCTCCCCATTGGGTTTTTTTGAACAGAAAAGAAGTTTATCCTTTGTTTTAAATTTGCTTAGGATTCGGTTTCGGTTCCTTCTAAAGTCTTTTTTACTCTGGATCGCCCATCGTCAGGTTCACACTCCTTCCTCGGCTTTTGATCAGGGGTTGAGTTCTATCCATTTTTTTCTTGTTTAGCACCGGGTTTCTGGTTCCTTCTAAAGTCTACTTCAACTCTATACTCCTAACGTCTCCGCCTAAAACCCTGAATATTTATTTACTATTCATTTACGTCTTTTCTCTCAACAGGAGTAAATAGGTTTGCCACCCATTCCCAGCCTTTTGAACAGGTGTAAAGGCCTATCTATTTTTTCCTGTTTCTGGCTTCTTCTAAATCCTACTTCAGCTCTATACTCCTAACGCTTATCCTTTCTTAAGCTAATTCAGCTCTACATAGTAATTCTTTTACTATGTTTCCTTTCCCAATTTTAATAGGGAAAATGTTTCTATAATGAAAATCGTTAGGTTCACACCCCTCCCCAGTTTTTTGAACAGAAATAGAAGTTCATCCCTTGCTTCCTGTTTAGGATTGTGTTTCCGGTTCCTTCTAACGTCTGCTTCAACTCTGTACTCCTAACGTCTCCGTCTAAAACTGAACTTTTATTTACAATTCATTTACATCTTTTCCCTCAACAGGAGTAGATAGGTTCGGCCATCATCCGGTTCACACTCGTTCCCGAGCTTTTGAACAGGAGTAGAGGTTTATCCCTTATTTCTTGTTCAGGGTTGGGTTTCCGGTCCCTACTAAAGTCTATTTCTAACGTCTCCGCCTAAAACTGAAATTTTATTTACAATTTATTTAGATTTCCCCTCACAATAGGAATAGATCGGTCTGCCTATCGCCCGGTTTAAACTCCTTCTGCTGTTTGGATCAGCGGTAGAGGCTTATCCGTTGTTTCCTGTTAAGGATTGGATTTCCTGTTCTTTTTAAAGCCTTCTCATTCTCTTGCAATCCCAGTAACCGCTTGCGTCTTCGTGTTCATTAGCTCTTTGCTTAGGTGAATTGATTAAGCATTTTTTAAAATCATTTTAAGCATTTTCGCTTATAAATAAGCATTTAATTGGGTTTTGGTGATAGATAAATATTGATATATTATTCAAATTATTTACTTTTTTGTCGCAATATGATTAAATAAATTCACCTATCGACGGTCCCCCCCACCCCGTGTTTTGAACAGGAGTAGAAGTTTATCCCTTGTTTCCTGATTAGGTCTCCGGTTCCTTCCAAAGTCTACTTCAACGCTATACGTCTAACATCTCTTCCTGAACCATGAAATTTTATCCACTGTTTATTTTTTTTCTCACGATAGGAATAGATAGGTTCGCCTATCGCCAGGTTCATACTCCTCCCCGGTGTTTTTCTACAGGAGTATAAGCAGATCTCTTTTTCCCTGTTTAGGATTTGGTCTCCGGTTATTTCTTAAGTCTTTTCATTCTCCAAACAGTTAATCAGTTAGTTAGGCTACTCGGTGTTTCCCTATATTTCTCTAGTATTATGTCTTGTGAGTATCTTTTTCTCCAAGCCGTCTTTCCTCTTTCTTAGCAAGTTTTTTTCTCTTTAATATCTCTTTCCAAATTTCCTCAGCCATTCATTTCAATAAATCTGTTACTCTATGGCTCTTTTGCCTTCAGTAAGTCCTGGAATTACCATTTTCTCCAAGTCTTCCTTCCTCTTTCTAAGCAACGTTTGTCAGTATGTCCTGTGAGTATCATATACGCCAAGCCGTCTTTCCTCTTTATAAGCAAGGTTTATCCCTTTTCAGCACTCCCTCTGCCATCCATTTGAATAGACAGGTAGGTTACTCGATGTTTCCCCATATCCTCCTTCTTTTCAGTATGTCCCGTGAATATCAAATTCTCCAAGCCGTCTTTCCTATTTCTAAGTCTCTTTCTTCTACTATCTCTTCTACTCCCTGATTTGAAATTGATAAGTTGTTGGCAGCTTCCCTTAATTTCAGAATGGTCTGTCTGTGGTTGATTCCAAAAATTCTAATAATCTGGTTCCTCAAGAGCTTGTCCCACACATTACGAAAATGGCTGGGGGTAGCCGTAGAAGCATATCCCTGATTTTGTTTGGTCAAAATACAATTCTCAAGTACACTATCCACAGATATCCGTACGGTAACGACAGTTAATTAAGTAAAATTAAATATTATTAAAAAAAACAAAAAACATATATATATATATATATTTGTTACCAGGAATTCTCTCAGGTGGATCAGGGGAGAGAACTTGGTTTCCAATCCAAAACAACTGGGATCCGACAGCAACAGGTGGCGCTGTTGTCCATATTAATTTTTGCACCTTTTCCTCATTCTCGAACTCATCGATTCCCCAGAATTTCAAGGTCAGGACAGTTGACAATGGCTGGCGTCTGAAAGATAATGTTAACTGATAAGATTTTTAGATTGTGTCAAAAGTTTTGCAGTGCTTTCTTTTGCACAGTGTGAGGGACATTTTAGCATCGGGTTTGAAGTTTACTTGCCTCCTGATCGAAGTCAGGGTGTATTGCTATGTAGAATCCAAATTGGATATACATACCTTATACACAAATACTTACTCAAAGCAGAAACTGCACCAGGGTGCATCTCTTGTGATAAATTGCTCACCGTTAAGCTTATCCGAGCCGACTGCAACATATGCAAAGCAAATGCGTAACAAATACTATGATATACAAAACATTGCCATGCTTTTCAAAAGCATTATTATTTTACTGACCAAAATATATCTCTGTATATGTATATCTATGCATATATTACTGTCTCTTTCTACCTATTATATGATATATTTTTTTGCTGTTCATTCAAATTGCTTTTTCGTATTGCCTTACGTACTGTATCAAGAGAAACCTCACTTTTAAGACAGCATTCACCTATTTCCTTACGTACTGTATCAGGAGAAACCTCACTTTTAAGACAGCATTCACCTATTTCCTTACGTACTGTATCAGGAGAAACCTCGATTTTTAAGACAGCATTCACGTATTGCCTTACGTACTGTATCAGGAGAAACCTCACTTTTAAGACAGCATTCACGTATTGCCTTACGTACTGTATCAGCAGAAACCTCACTTTTAAGACAGCATTCACGTATTGCCTTACGTACTGTATCAGGATAAACCTCACTTTTAAGACAGCATTCACGCATTGCCTTACGTACTGTATAAGGAGAAACATCACTTTTAAGACAGCATTCACGTATTGCCTTACGTACTGTATCAGGAGAAACCTCACTTTTAAGACAGCATTCACGTATTGCCTTACGTACTGTATCAGGAGAAACCTCACTTTTAAGACAGCATTCACGTATTTACTTACGTACTGTATCAGAAGAAACCTCACTTTTAAGACAGTATTCACGTATTGCCTTACGTACTGTATCAGGAGAAACCTCACTTTTAAGACAGTATTCACGTATTGCTTTACGTACTGTGTCAGGAGAAACCTCACTTTTAAGACAGTATTCATGTATTTCCTTACGTACTGTGTTAAGAGAAACCTCACTTTTAAGACAGCATTCACGTATTGCCTTACGTACTGTATCAAGAGAAACCTCACTTTTAAGACAGCATTCACTCCTCATATTTCTAGCTTTTTAATTTTGGATTTTTTGTACCAAAATACACCCAATCTTTCATCTGTCTTGTCTAACATCTTTGGTCTGATGGTTTTCTTTGCACTTAAAACATTTCCGGTGGTAACAATTGCCTTTCCGGTGTGACCTGAATATTATTTACAGAAATTCCCAGGCGATTGGCTATCCCTCGTTCTGTCATCTTCCCCTTTCTACAGTCACAACCTCCATCTTTGTTTCAGCAGTGATCTTAGCCATGATTACGTTAACTAGAAAGACACGTGACACTTTCACGGTTTTTCCATTTGAATTTCCTGATGAATATTAATTCTTCAGTTAATGATTGAATAAGCTCATGGCGAGTTCTACGGCAATAAAATATAAGCAGAAATTTTCCTATCGCATCGTTAAATCATTGAGCTCAAAACCTTTAACAAAATATTGCAATAACACTCATAAACATGAATACTGGTCGCTATTTTAAGAAGTAAACTAAAAAAGACGTTAAATATTTCTTTCTTTCTTTCTTTCTTTCTTTCTTTCTTTCTTTCTTATCTGACAGACGCAAGCCATTTTAAGACGGAAAAACTAGAAAAAACAATAATTTATTTATTTTTTAAGTTATTTTTCTCATTAATGTATACTTTGCATCCCCTGAATGTCTATATACTGGGTTTAACAGCAAAATTGTTCAGACTGTGTATCAGCGTAATTGTCCATAGACAATAGGTTTAATACTAAAAAAATCAAACAAAACTGAGCTTCTTTTTTCCATGTTTTTAGATAAGACGTTCAGCCATCTTGACACTATTTTTTCCATAAGAATCACTGAAAAAAACACCCTTTGAGTTATTCAGCTAGAAAATGATTTTCTCTCATATATTCATATCTGCCCAATGCGTTTTACGTTGTAAAAAAAATGTCTTAAAAAATAATTTTCGGACTTTGTCCATTTCATAATGTGTGACGTCATTTTTTACATTTGGATAGGCATCGAGCAGATATGAATGAATGAGAGAAAATCATGGAGAATTGTAGTTTAAAAACAGTAAAATTGACCTTGCTAAACGAAACGTTTTCTCTGTGGCTCAATCGGTTAAGGCACGTCAGGTTATATGACGGTTCCGTATAGGATACAGGTTCGATTCCTGTCTGTGAAAGTTTTTCGGTCATTCAGGCCGGTAAATGTTGTTTAATACTGTTTATTATACACAGAGGATTTACTTAAATATTCGTATCTATAAAACAACGTATGTAGATAAAAATATGTCTGAAAAGAATAATTGTTGGAATTTTTCCATTTTAATATATATATATATATATATATATATATATATTAATTTATAGATAGATAAATATTGTTCGTATCTATCTATCTACCGTTGCATTCTGACATTTTAAAACAATGGAAAATACCCACCTGAATGGTGAAAGGGAACATGTTGACTGACCCACAGGTTGCTCTGAAAGCCCAACCATTTGCAACACCTGTCCGAATGAGAGAAGAATTAAACACAATGACAACTTGTAACTAAAAATTCCCTTCACAAACAGCAGCATTCAAAAACATTTTCAATCCGTCAAAATCGGCAGAACAATGAACGGTGGTATACAGCTGTTACTGCAGATGGAATTTCTGTCCCGTGAGCTACAAAGAACATTAAATGTCCAGTTTAGGGAAGATTAAAAAAAAAAATGATTCGCCAAAAAGATATAAGAAGTTGATTGAATATCAGCTTTTTGTTGGCACGAAATAATACTTTTTCGGCCTGTCGGAAAATTTTTTTCACCTTCTTCAGGTGTACGACCTGTAAGGAAATTAATGTTTTTTTTTTTTAACGCTAGAATATTTTTTAATGATTTCAATTGAAAAAGGCGGGAGTGCCACTAGCACGCAAGGGGTTACAAAGAGTGGGGAACAAGAGGTGTGATAGAGAAAAGGGTGAAGAGAAGGACGGGGAATTAGATCAAGGCATTTGAAGATGTCGATTGACACTGCATTTGAATAATTGAAGATTATAGCTATCAGGTCGTTACACGTATGCCTGACAACGTGGCAAAAAAAAAAATCTGACCCAATTAATGTCTCGGTTTATATACAGAGTGTCAGCCTCAAATATTTCTTTGCACGTTAAATCCGTTTTTTCTTTCTTATTAGACCCTAGAAAGGGTCTCTTTTTTGCGACATTTCTAATGGCTTGTACACCCGAAGAAGGCCAGAGAATGGATCGGCCGAAATATGATTAAAGCGGTCCGATAAGTTTAAACAATTTTTTTAGTCATTTATTTCATATACGGCATATCGGCGCAGTGCCGTGAAGTGGGACAAATGTTGAAAACAAAGAAAGAAAGAAAGAAAGAAAGAAAAGAAAGAAAGAAGGAAAGAAAAGAAAGAAAGAAAGAGGGGAGAGAGAGCAACTGAAAAGAAAGAAGAGAGAGAAGTTGAAAAGAAGAAAGAAAGAAAGAAAGAAATAAAGAAAGAAAGAAAAGGTAAAAGAAAGCAGGAAAGAAAGAGTTTGAAAAAAAAAAAAAGAAATAATGAACGAAAGAATGATTTAAAGAGTGAATGAAAAGAAAGAAAGAAAGAAAGAAAGAAAGACAGAATGAGAGTAGGAGATAGCAATTGAAAAGAAAGAAAGAAGAGAGAGAGAGAAGTTGAAAAGAAAGAAAGAAAGAAAGACAGAAAGAAAAAGAAAAGACAAAGTAAAAAAAGAAAGCGGGAAAGAGGGTGATTAAAAAAAAAAAAAGCAGTGAATGAATGATTTTGAGAAAGAGCGATTGAAAAAGAAAGAAAGACTGAGAGAACTCTTTAAAGAGCAATTGAAAAAAAAAAAAAAAATTTTTTTAAAAGACAGTGAGAAATTGAAAAGACGGAAAGGAAACCGTTTATTTCCTCCATCGGGGTAAATTGTCTAGTTCCACTTGTTATTTGCCTTTTCAGATGTCTTTTATGTGGATTTAACTCCAACTCTTCAAGGTAAAGGGAGAAACTGAAACATCCGAACAGTGTAAAATAACTACAATACCTAATCTCAGGAATATAGACAGAGACTTGAACAGGTTAAGATTATAGTGATCGGGGAGCATCGGCTTGGGAGTCTATTCACCAAACTGACGTGGTTCACGGGAAGAAGTGTGTTCAATTGCACCTTCCTTTCGCCGATGGAATATAGAGGAATGTTAGTGGTTTTGCTACTATGTAAATGGCAAGGTGGGTCAGCCGTGAAGGTTAGACGTGGCAGAACCAAGGAATGCAGTTCGTCCGAGCACCTTCCGTGGACGTAGCAATAGAGCAGCGAAAGGCTTTTTCGCATCCCCTACCGTGAGAGGGTGGTAAGTTGGAAAATAATTCGTCACCCACAAGGACTCTAAGACGCTTTTTGGGTTCTATTGAAGTTGGGAAGTGATTGGCAACTCCAGCTCAAATATTTACACTCCGTTCTAGGCCTGATCTGCGTCTTGTAGAGATTGGCACGAAGAGTCGGGTACTTATTGGAGCGATTGGACTAAAAGCAGTAACAATAAAAGAAAAAAAATCATATGTAAATGACAGGTCGTCATTGTTGGAAGTGGAAGAAAATGGTATAAATTTCAACAAGGAGTTTTATATATGTCTAATAAATGATTAACAAGAAATAAAATATACTTGTCTGCATTTAAAAGAAAGACATTTTAAAAATCTTTCCATTAGGAAGTGTGTATAAAATGAATTCTAACCTAAACTTCTTTTACTTAGTACTACACGCACTTAAAAGAATCCAATAAAACACCTACAGTAAAATAAAATTAATATGAAATGCCAGAAGATGTAAGCTTTTGAATGACCCATGTCCTTTGTACTTACATGAGAAACAATAAATTACTAGGTTTATATATAAAATAAAAGTTTACTAAATCAGTGAAATTAAGTAACCATTTTTGCCGTCATTGTTATAAATTTTACTTATAAAAAAAAATGTAATCTAATATACATACTTATACTTGATGTAAAAATAATCTTACATAATATAGGGGATTCTAATACATTTAACTGTTCTTAAATTAAATATAGTATAATAAAAATTAAAAATGAGAATATTTCAAATTGTTGTTAAATAAAAAGTATTCTAATCTGAACACCCCCGAAAATCTTTAAATTTACAATGGAAAAATGCCGTAAGAATTTTTTATGTTAACAATTTTTAAAAAAAATCCAGACGACATGCATTCAACGGATGTCAGTTTTCATTGAAAAATACATCCCTACCCCTTACCAAAACGTAGCTAATAAACGATACAATGATGCAGACATAAGGAAAACCCAGACACCCCTTGTCCAGTTGAAGTAGATTTATCTGTAACCATGGAAACGTGATTTTAGCTGTGTCTTTAAAACCCAGTAATTTTTAAAAGTTACTCCAAAATTCGCTTGAGGATGAAATGGAACTAATGTCTTTAATTTAATTACAAAATTAAATTCGTGGCTTTTAGCTTCCATTTTTGAAACATGGTTAGAACTGTGTAGCGAAAAAAAAACATATTTTAAATCAATTAATTTATATATATATATATATATATATATATGATATATACGAGTAAAAAATAAAATATATATAGAACATTTGTTTAAAAGAAACAGGAAGTGTCCTTCTTTTTATATGATATATATCTTATAGATATATATGAAGAGTATATAATATATTACTGGAGCGATAAAAGCAATGGCAATAAAAAAAAAACAATTCATATACTGCAAATTTATATATCTAGGGCAAGATATCCTGAAAATAAATTCATTTCAGACTTTAAATTAAAATTCTCTTAGACTGGATTTCAATATATATGCAAGGCTAAAGAATAAAATAATTTTTACTATTTAACCCATACTAAAGGAAAGAATTTTTTGTTTTTTTTGCAGTGAGGTTCGTCCTAGTACTAAAAATCATGGATCCATTTAAGTCTAAGATCACAGAATAAGAGGCAGTTAATGAGGATAGGAGGGGAAGATAAGATTTTAACTTATATATTGAAAAGATTTTTTAATAAAAGTGAGGAAAACACCTTCATCTTAGTCGGTTTAAAAAGAGCACTGGTTCGTGGGAAGAAGCTGTTAGAATGGAAAATTAATGATCACAGATGGTTTGAATACGTGTGTAAAACCAAATAGCAAAGCCCTTATATGAATTTTTTTTAAATGAACCAAGGAAGCCAATTTAGTCCGAGCAAAAATTGTATTTTATTAGATCCAGCGAAATTTTTTAAACATCATTTTTACACCAGGTGGGGTTGCAGTGTGGAAAATAATTCGTCACCCACAGGGACTCAGGGAGGAGAAAAACAATATCAAGAACAAAATAATGGATGGGAAGCGAAAATATGTCCAAATATGGCAAGTTATTATCCATTTTCGGCCTGATCTGGCCCCTAAAAAATATAGAGGATATTTTTTAAAACGCGTTTTATTTATCAATTTGCCTTATTTAGTCTAGAATAAAACATTGTTTGAAACGATAAATTTTTTTAGGCATCTTCGTTTAGTTCGGTCTGAAAATAACGTGCAATGTCTTTAAAACAACAACAGGAACAAAAACTGGTCAAAGAACGGAATCCGAAAGTACTTACATCTTGGCAAATGGCATTGGATAGTTTCTTGAATTTTGGCGCCGACGAATTTGCAAGGAATCATTGGGAATGACTTATATTTGCATCATAGAACAAAACATTGATAACAGGTTTGCAAAACAAACAAAATAGTTTTTTTTTTTAAAATTAAGTTATAAGGATAGCTCAAGACATATTGAAAAAAAATAACAACAAAAATGGATTTCGTGTATATAATATCACTGTCTATCAAAGGCGGCTAAATAAATCCCTATTGCAGACAAAGTAAGAAAGACATATCTATGAATATTGTTCAAATTCTACAGAGCTCAGAAACAAAATTTATACCAAACGGATATTAGTTAAATTTCTGGGATAAAAAATTATACGAAATTGATCAACTGTTCTGAATGAAAGACAAAGAAAAGTCACGATGATTTGACTTCGTGCTACAGATAGCCAAAAAAAGGAACCCAAATATAAAAAGATAGACAATTTCATTCAAAAGACAAAATGTTTAAAACCCGTGGTATGGTTTATCATTTATAAGTCACAACACATCCTGGGATATAACTACGGACAGTCAACATCAAGAAGTTCTTTCATGACTTATCGATATAGTGGCAGAAATTCGAACTGAGGTCTCATTAAAAAGATCAACGTTTTAACCACTAAAAATATAGTTTATTAAATGACAATAAATACTAAAACTTCTTTGAATTTAAATGACTAACCTTTTTAAAGACGAAAAAATATAAAAAAAAAAAAAAAGGTTTTATACACGACATTATTAATAAATAATATGACAAAGTTACCTTTTTTTATCGTTAAATTGAAAATAATATCTGCTCTAATTTGATTTTATTTGCTTTTAGTGGTTAGGGGTCAAAAATAAAAAAAGTAAAAATCAATAACTTACTCAAATTAAAATTTTTAAACTACATGGTCAGTCCAAAGTTAATTAACCGTTTTCTCAAAGCAATTTGCTCTAGTAAAATTTACAAATTTTGGTTCAACAAAAAGGAAATTCAAAAATAGTTATATAGCACTTAGGTAAAAAATTGAAACATATGTCAAAGAAATATGTACATAAATATTTTAAAACCGATCTTATATATATATATTTGTAACATTCTGTTTAAAATATAAAAACGGAAAATGACATATTTGTAAATTTTTAAATTGTGAAAAGTAAAAGAGGTTGACAAAATCAAAAATATGTATCTGCCAGGCAAATTAAGAACCAGCATTGAACCGTCATTAGTTAAAAAAAAAAAAAACCAAAACAGAAATGGGAAAGAAAATGGTATATTTTTGAACTCAATATTTAATTTAAATCAAGAAGAATCCATATTGATTCTGTTTTGTTGCTAACTTAAATTAAATAAATTTTTGTTTTTTTTTATTTTAGTATCCATCTAAAAAAACATCTAAAATCTCATCTATTATCTATTTAAATCTATTATCTATTCTGTATATATATTTATCTCTTTATCTATCTATCTATCTATCTAGGAAATTTAATATAGGAATATTTATGTTATATCTCAACAGATTTTTGTTTTATCTATCTATCTTAAATCTAATAATATGTAAATCTATTATCTATCTATATTACAAAAAATATAACATCTATCTATCTATCAAATTGTTGACAAACAAAATATCTTTTTCCTCTTATTCTATTTCTGTTCAAATCTTCTATCTATCTATTTTAAAAATCTATTAAATCATAAAAATATCATTCATATATTATAAATATATATCTATTTAAATCTAATAACCGAATTATTTATTTATCTATCTAAAATGTATGAATCTATCAATTTTTGAAAAAATATTTCTCTCTCAGTTTCTTTATTTCAAAATTCCAAAATAATGTATATATTATCTAAGAATCTAGGAAATTAATAAGGAAAATTTTATTATATATCTATGACTTTTTTTTGTTTTATCTCTCTTCTATCAATTTTTGTTTCATCTATGTTATCTATCTATCTAAATTAAATATATTTAAGTGAAATATATATATATATTATCTATCTATTCTATCTATTTATCTATCTAAACATCTATCTAAAAAAATAACGAAATTCATTTATCTATCATAATAAATATCTTAAATATTAGCCTATCTAGATATCTATTATAGAAATAAAATATAAGATACATTTTACCTTACATGATTTAAAAAAAAAAACAACAAAAATTTTTTGATTATCAAAAAAAATTTATGGAATCGAAATATAAATTATGTCACAATAAAAACATAAAAGACATAATAAGAAATTATGATACAAAAGAAAACAATCTAGATTGAATTCACGTTTTACCTAACAAACATAAAATCTTATTTTACAGAGGAAGTTTGTTTTTGAATTATATATATATTTTATATATATGCTTTGGAAAAATGAAAAAATGAATTTTATTCCACTCAGGATATTATGAAATAGCCAGTGCTGAAATAAATTGGCATAAGATTTTTGGACTATTTATAAAGTGCTAGATATATAAGTGTTATTTGATATATATATGACCCAATGCATATAAATTAAAAATTTCTTTTCTTAGGTTTGAAATGAAACAATTATATCATGTAAATGCAAAAGTTTGTGTTTTAAATCAAACTAAAAAACCAAACCTAAACCAAAAATCACATTGTTAATAGGATCATTTACAACCTTTTATTGAGTAGACATTCATCAGTTTGCCACTTTTTATATAAAAGACCAAATCTGTTCATATCTATTTTTATATCTAATATCTGTAAAAAATATATTTAAACCATCAATATATCTCTAAAATCATCTATCTAAATTATTCATATTTATCTATTTATCTATCACTGTATACATGTAAAATATATATAAATTTAAGATATTTATTGCAACATTTGAACAGAGATAGATAGATAATTAGATAGATAAGAAAAAAATGCGAACAAATATATATATATATATATATATATATATATATATATATATATATATATATATATATATCAATAAAAATTCAAAAACTCTAACAAAAAATTTTTCGTTAAAAAATAAATATATATATTTTTTTTTTATATATATAATTTAAATATTATATATATATCCATATATATATATATATATATATATATATATATATATATATATATATATATATATATATATATATATATATATATATATAGCAATTTTTCATTAATGCATGTTTCATTAAATAATATAGACAAGTTTTGTCTATTTATTTTAAGTAAGTTCCTTTCATATTGTCTGATAAAGCTTAATAACATTATCATTGAAAGACGAAAGGAAATCACCATATTGATACATGTTTAAATCCAATCTAAGCTTTCGGCTTACATAAGCCATTATCAAAATGACAATTACTTTTCAATATATCAAAAATACACGGACGAAACAATAATGATAGTCTGTTTTTGTTGCATGAAAATTTATAGCAACGAGAACTGTGTATACGAGATGCGAAAGCGAAAAATCGCGTCGCAGCTCGTGACATCACACATGACCACGCGAGAGTGAAAACGAGAAGTATTAAGTATGGGAAGCCGTTGGTATAAACCAATAGCTTCTATTATAAATTATATGCATTTAAGAATATTTGTGGAGATTTCATAATTTATTTTGTTCAGGTTAGGTTTCAACTGTTTTATATATATAGCTTCAAGAATTTTTAATTTTTGTTTATTGTTTTCATGTTTAAGTATAGTTGTGTTTTCAACGAGGATATTTCGGAATTGAGTACGCGTCCAGGCATGTTGTTTTAAATGCCTAAAAATGTTAGAGTTATCATTCAAATGTTGAGTCTAGCGTCGTGAAAGCGAGTTTGTGGTGTGACCAAAATAAATATTATTTAATCCATTTGAGATATAGATAGATAGATAGATAGATAAGAAAAACATACAAACAAACAGATAGATAGATATGAAAAGAATGAGATAGATAGATAGATAGATAGATCGATAGATAGATAGATAAGAAAAACATACAAACAGATAGATAGATAGATAGATAGATAGATAGATAGATAGATAGATAGATATGAAAAGACTGAGATAGATAGATAGATAGATAGATAGATAGATAGATAGATAGATAGATAGATAGATTTGAACGAGGCTAGCATACCATAATTCATGTAGAGTCCTTGATCTTTACCTGGTGCATTACATGTTTCACTTCCAGGAAAAATAAAATCAGTCGAATGAACAAGAAAAGAGAAAAAAAATTTTTAACCCTTTGATTCCAACGTTCCTGAACAATTTTGACTTTTCTGCCTGAGCTCCTGAGTCAAAATTCGCAAATAACTGGTATACAATGTTTCCCGATAGATATAAAAATAGTTACAAGTGTTTATCCACCGTTCAACCGGTGGATGGACATTAAGTCATTTTTCTCTCTCACCAGTTGAGCGATGGTCAGGTCTCAAAGGTTTAAGCCAGTGTAGATTAGAAAGAAAGGCTACCTTTAGTGGTGGTTGTAGGTGGAGCCGGAGTGGTTGTATAATTTAAAAAGCTGAGCAGGTAGTTTCCAGCGTTGACGTCAACGAGGAATCCTCCTAGATGGACGAGTCTTTTGCCTTGAAATTTCTGAAGAAGCCATATTTGCGTATGGCTGCCGTAACGTCACCTATGAGAGCATCATCAGCTGTGTCGTCGAAAACCAAGTTGAAAGTCATCGATTTGCCCTGATCCCTAGATAAGAAAAAAGAAAAAAGAAGCAGACTACATGAAATTTTTGGCTGCGTTATCAAGATTATCATATTTTGTTATTAAAATATTTTTTTTTAAATAATGGCTGGTGTCGTTGCTCATCTAATAAACGAATTAGGAATATTGACAAAGCTATTTGCTGTGTTTTAACTTTGGTCAGAACCGAAAATTAGCCTTATTAGCGGGCATAGGATACTCCAACAGAATCCCTTGCACCAGGGGTCGGAAACCCGCAACCCTAGGGTCATATCCGGCGCGCGAAAGATTTTTGTCTAGCCCGCGATGGTAGTTTTGGGTTAGTTGTTTGCAACGATTACGGTTGCAGACGGTTTGTGGAAGCCATTTTGTAGAAAATGTATTCATCGAGTATGCCTAAATTCATATTTAAACGAAAAATGTGTGATTTTATTTTTAAAACAATTTCAAATTACTTTTGTTGGCCTACTATATCTACATATTATAAGAAACATATGTGGGCAATATATTTTTACTCTCATATATATATATATATATATATATATATATATATATATATATATATACATATGTGTGTGTGTGTTTGCATAAACTCTTAATAATATGAATTATGTATATGAATAATACTTAATATTATCAATTATGAATATGCCCACAATGTGCTGACTGACCGGCAATTAAGACATTTCTACTGATAGAATGAGCAAATATATATACTGGTGGGCATAGAATATTCCAACTGAATTCCCTAGGGCAGGCACGCGAATGATTTTTGTCTGGCCCGCGAAAGATTTTTGTCCGGCCCGCCAACTTAACACCTGAACACTAATTATCTAATTAATTTGAGGAGCAAGTGGCAGAAAAATATCAGTTGGAGTTAAATGACTTACAATGCGACGAATTTTTGAAATCAAAATTTTAATTCCGAATCAACTGCTGATTTCTACAAGAAATATGTTCTGTCAAACGGAAAATATAAAAGCCTATTGAATAATGCGAAAACGATGGTACCATTATTTGAAAATACCTATGCTTGGGAACGACCTTTTTTCGAAAAGGAAATATACACTAAAAGTCGTTTAAGAAAAAGGTTGGGTGATGACCACTTCGATGATAATTTGCTTCTGTCGGGGTTACAATTCCACCCGGGCATAGAGTACTCCAACTGAATTCCCTAGAGCAGGGTCGGCAGTACGATGGGCATAGAGTTATCTTCTCGTTGAATCCCCCAGAGCAGGAATGGCAACGGGGCACTCGAGACTTTATCCAACTGAACGCCTTTATCCACTGGGATCTGAAGACATCAGGGCGATAGAGTTCTCCAACTGAATCAGTGGAGAACAGGGAGAGGCAACACAGGGGCATAGATAACCCAACTGAATCCCCCAGAGCAGGGATCGGCCTTGTTTGGGAAGAGTACTCCAACTGAATCCCCTAGAGCAGGGGGCAACACCCGGGCATAGAGTACTCCAACTGAAGAAATAGAGCAAGGGTCGGCAACACCCGCATAAGAGTACTCCAACTGAATGAATATAGAGCAGGGTCCCCCCAATTAACAGAGTACTCCAACTGAATAGAGCAGGGATCGGCAAATTAGTAGAGTACATCCAACTGAATTTTAGAGCAGGTATCAAACCGGGCATGGCGATCAACTGAATCCCCTAGAGCAGGGATCGGCAACACCCTTTTTATTTACTCCAACTGAATCCCTCAGAGCAGGGATTCAGCAACACCCGGGCATAGGTTACTCCAACTGAATCCCCTCTGCAGGGATCGGCAACCTTCATGGAATACTCCAACTGAATCCCCTAAAGCAGGGATTGCAACACCTGAAGCATTGTTTCAACTGAATCCCCAGAGCAGGGATCAGCAACACCCGGGCATGGAGTTTTTCAATAAATCCATTATAGAGCAGGGGTCGGCAACACCCGGGCATAATATTATATATACTGAATCATTATAGAGCAGGGATCATATAAACCTCGGGCATTGTTACTCATATGTATATATAGAGCAGGGATCGGCAACAGCAGCCGGGCATGAAGTACTCCAACTGAATCCCCTAGAGCAGGATCAGCAACACCCGGGCATAGAGTGTCCAACTGAATCCCATAGAGCAGGGATCGGCAACAACCGGGCATAGTTACTCCAACTGAATCCCTTAGAGCAGGGGTCGGCAACACCCGGGCATGGATATCCAACCGAATCCCCTAAAGCAGGGATCGGCAACACCCGGGCATGAGTACTCCAACTGAATATCCTGTAGAGCAGGATCGGCAACACTCGGCATAGAGTAATCCAACTGAATCCCCTAGGAGCAGGGTCGGCAACACCCGGGCATAGAGTTTTCCAACTGAATCCCCTAGAGCAGGGTCGGCAACACCGGGCATAGAGTATCCAACTGAATCCCCTAATTTGGGGTCGGCAAAACAATTGGCATAGAGTACTCAACTGAATCCCCAGGAAAAGGGATCGGCAAAACCTGAGCACAGAGTACTCCAACTGAATCCTTAGAGCAGGGGTCGGCAACACCCGGGCATGGAGTACTCCAACTGAATCCCCTAGAGCAGGGATCGGCAACACCCGGGCATGGAGTACTCCAACTGAATCCCCTAGAGCAGGATCAGCAACAACTTAAAAAAAAAAGTACTCCAACTGAATCCCATAGAAGAGGGATCGGCAACACCCGGGCAAATTTTTTTTACTCCAACTGAATTTTGAAGAGCAGGAAGAAGCAGAACCCGGGCATGGAGTCACTCCATTTTTGAATCTTTTAGAGCAGGGATCGGCAACACCCGGGCATGAATTACTAACCAACGGGATTAGAGGAGGGTCGGCAACATGGAGGGCATGGAAGTTTCAACTGAATCCCCCTAGAGCAGGGATCGGCAACACTCGGGCATAGAGTACTCCAACTGAATCCCCTAGAGCAGGGATCGGCAACACCCGGGCATAGAGTACTCCAACTGAAAGAAGAAGAGCAGGGATAGCAACACCCGGGCATCGATCCAACTGAATCCCCTAGAGCAGGATTTTAACAACCGGGCATAGAGAAGAAACGCGGAATTTAGAACAAAGGCAACACCCGGGCATGGAGTATAAACTGAATCCCCTAGAGCAGATAATTAAAGACCCGGGCATGGAGTACTCCAACTGAAGAAAAGAGCAGGGATCGGCAACACTCGGGCATAGAAAACTCCAACTGAATTAGAGCAGGGGTCGGCAACACCCGGGCATAGAGTTTTCCAAATGAATCCCCTAGAGCAGGGTCAGCAACACCCGGGCATAGAGTAAGAAAATGAATGTATAGAGCAGGGAAGAAGCAACACCCGGGCATAGAGTACTCCAACTGAATCCCCTAGAGCAGGGATCGGCAAATGTGAGCATAGAGTACCCAACCTGAAATGAGAGCAGGGGTAAGCAACACCCGGGCATGGATTTAATCCAAATGAATCCCCTAGAAAAGGGATAATCTAATCGGGCATAGAGTACCCAACTGAATCCCCAGAGCAGGGATCGGCAGGACCCGGGCATAGAGTATCCAACTGAATCCCCAGAAAGGGATCGGCGATCTTCGGGTTGAAGTCTCCAACTTTGAATAATCAATATAGCAGGGGTCGGCAACACCCGGCCTTAGGGCCACAATCGACTCAAATGCGAATGATTTTTTGTCTGGACCGTAAAAGGATTTTGTCCGGCCCGCTAACTTAACACCTTAACACTAATTATCTAATTAATTTCCGGAGCAAGTGGCAGAAAAATATCAGTTGGAATTAATCGACTTACAATGCGAAGAATTTTTTAAATCAAAATTTAATTCCGAATCAATTGCTGACTTCTACAAGAAATATGTTTTGCCAAACGGAAAATATAAAAGCCGATTGAATAATGCGAAAATGATGGTATCATTATTTGAAAATACCTATGCTCGTGAACAACTCCTTTTCGAAAATGAAATATACTAAAAGTCGTTTAAGAACAAGACTGGATGGTTACCACCAGGAGGATATTTCGCTCCTAATATCGACAAATATTTCACTTGATATGGAGGAGTTATCAAACAATAAGCAGAAACAAGTGTTTCATTTAATAATTTGCCATTTCTAAGTCTATTTCGTTTAAAAGATTAAAACAGCAAAACGAAATTAGTCATACAATTTCTTAGTGATATAAAACTTAAGTATAGAACAAACGAAAGAAAGTCGTTTGAAAATTAATATTGAGAAACAGTCAAAGATGATGTTAAGTCCACTTGAAACTCCAGCTTTTCAGTTAACCCTTATCAAAGAAAATTGTTGATAAATTTAAAAGACTAAAACAACAAAACAAATTTAGTCGTACAATTTTAGTAGTATAAAACTTAAGTATAGCAAGAAGAAACGGGGGCATGTTGAAAATTACAATGAAAAGTACATTCCTCAGAAAGATGCAACTTTTCAATCAACCATTATCAAATTGGAACTGTTAATAAATTTAAAAGATTAAACAATAAAACGAATTTTGTTTTACAAATTGTAAATTTTAAGTAAATGCTCTATTTATAATAAACAGTAGTAATATTGTTTATTATAAACACAGCAGTTACTTAAATAATTGTATCTATAAAAATAACGTATAAACAGAAAATATATTAAAATAATTATTTGATATATATATATAGGTCTATACAATCATTAATTATATTCTATTTAAATATTTTATACGGATCAATTCTCTATTTATTCACTATAATATTTTCTTTTTTTTCACTATACGAGATTTTAAAAATATATTAACAAAATTTTTAGAACGGCTATTTCTATTTGTTTTGGCAACTATACGTATCAATATTTTCTATACGATTTACTATACTGGTTTTTTCTGTACTGATCACTATACGAATTGAATCTTATTCTCTATTATTCATTATATATTTATATATATAGACAATATATACATATCACTATTCTCTATATATTCATATATAATATTTTTAAACTAAGACACTAAAATACATGCTGTTTCTGAATTTATTTATTATACTTTTCTCTGTATGTTCAATATGGAAACTATTCTATACTATTAAACTATATATTATTTCTCTGTACTGATCATATAGGATCACTATTCTCTATACTATTTACTATATTTTTCTAGTTTAATGATCACTATATACGAATCATTTATTCTTTGATTATTATTAAACTATTTATTTTCTGTACTGATTTGTATATATATCACTATTTGAATATAAACTATTCACTATAATATCTCTATACTGATCACTATCGGATCAATTATTTCTATATATTTTACTATTTCTTTCTCTGTATTGATCATATACGATCTACTATTTTATTTATTTTATATACTATTTCTCTGTAAATTGAAAAATACTGATAACTATTCGGTGTTTACTTTTTGAGCGATTACTATCGAGCAAGTACTATTAATGCGATTGTTATTCGACAGCGTCTGACATCAGTATTGTTATACAGCTTTACTATAGTTTTAACTGCGATTACAAAGTCTCTACTACAACGAGCATTACGAAAGTGACAACGAGTCTTCGTTGACATCACAAAATTAAAAAAAAATGTTAATTTTTGTTGAAAGTATTAGAATTATGTAAAAATATGTCTCTCAAATCTTTAAATTAAAAATATTTAGATTTCGGCATTAAATAACCCATATAGATATAAATATATGTTATAGTTTAAACAAAATCAACCAGCCAACGAATGGATTGATATAATTTTAGTCAAACTTAAAACATCTTCCAGGAATTCCTGATGAAATTACAATCAAAAATTCAAGAAACTTTTCAATTCAAACTTTTCTTAAGAAATTTTATCCATCATGAATAAAAAAATATAAAGAAATGATTATTAGCGGTTATTTATTTTTTAAATATTATTTCAACATACGCTACCCGAAAAAATATTCAAAGGACACATCCAAAGAACCCGTATAAAAAACAAAACAAAAAAAAATTCAGGAAGATAAATAACCACATTTTTATATATATATATATATATATATATATATATCAGCATATATATATATAAGATATTTCATATTCTTGAATAAACTCTTTTTGATGTTGTTAAAAAAGATCAGTAGAATTGTATTGTGTTTGCTGAAAATTAAATTTTGTTTTGGATTTATGATCAAAATGTCAATTTTAGGTTATTTAAAAATGGAATATTTTTTTATTGTTCATTCATGTTCATAAAAAGAAAGAACATGTCTTAAATTATTTAACGAATCCTGTCTGAATTAAAATATGCTTGGAAGAAATATTTCAATTTCATATATATATAAAATATATATATATATATATATAAATATATATATATATATATAAATATGTATGGCGGAAAAGCAAATTGGAAAATAAATTTTAAAAATTTATAAATGTTTTGAAGACAAGATATAAATAAGAAAAAATAGTTCTTCAATGAAATACGACAATTTTGGGGATAAAAGGGATTATAAATGTAAAAAGAACAAGAAAAATTATAACAATTTTAAAAAAAAATGTGTAATTTTTTTAATTTTTAATTTTGGACAAAAAAATAATTTTTTATAAACTTTAGAAAGACCATAAAATAATGTTGAATAATCAAACTAATTTGACCATCAAAAATGTTTATCCATGCAAGATCAGGACCTATCTTTTGCATATTTAGACGAATGGTTGATTTGTAAATTCAAGGATGGATTCAGGCGAGAAAATTTGATTTATGGTCAACAAAAAGAACCAACCTTTATTGCAATAGCTGCCATCTGAGCAAGTCTGGGACCTTTATAAATTGTATAGCGCTGTTTAAGGTTATTCTACAATAACCATCCATCACATCTACGAATCAATTACGAAAAAAGACATTGAATATTGCTATATATATGGTCTATGCGTCGCCGCTGTTCATTAAAGGTTTTCAACAAAAATAAAGAGACGGATATTCAAATGATAGGTCCTCCATTAGCATTCGTCTAGAGTCAAATTTCACAGACGTGCTGTGTTTTCCTCCGTTTTTAAAAAAAAAAATTTTCAGAAAATGCATTCTGACGATATACTGGAACTGGTTCGAAAACTGAATGAATTTAAGCGTGATACTAGGTTGGCATCTCTGTCCCAATTTTCACGGTCGAAAACGGTTAAATGTAGCCGTCTCTCTAATCCAACAGCTTCTTTCTCTCACTTCCCGACAGTGGAATCCATTCCTCTTACTTGCTAAAAGGATAGCTATAATCTTCAAATATTCAAATATCAATATTAATCGACATCTTCTGATATCTTGATCTTGATCCCAATTTTTTTTTTGTCTTTCTTCAAACAACCCTTTTTACTATTGCTCTTTTTTACAAAACCCTTTGCGTGAAATTACTATCGTCTTGCTTATAAAAAAAAAAAAAAAATGATTTATAAGTTTTCAAGAGTTTAATGTGGTGGAATATATTTATCAATATGAATATGTACATCATTGCAATATTTATTCGTTAATTCCAAGAATTTAAAGGATATTTATCCATAATATTTGGAATTTTATCCAAAATTATAAGAAAATTTTGGAATTTTTGAAGATTCGTAGATTTTCTGCTGAAAAATAGAAAATAGTTAATTGAATTTGATATTCAATGATTAATTTGCCACATCAACTTTAGGGGATAAAAAAAAAGTTGATATGAATTGCCAAAAAAAGACTATATAAAAAAAATATTTTTTGAAATATGGACAGGATTATAAGAAGAAAAAAGGATAAATTGGTGATCTCAAAAATTTCATTTAATTTTTTCAAGTTTTGGATTCATCGATTAGTTGAAAATACAATTATTGCAATAATTTGAAATTACACCATGGCTCAATTCCACATTTCTATTTTTTTATGGATTACCATTTTCTATAAATATGGTTGGTATTAGGGAAGAGAAGTGGAGGTTTCAAAAAGAATCCAAGGGATTTGTTCTTTTTTTTGCGATAAATTTCAACAAAATTAGAGGAACGGAGGGATTCAAGAAATACAAAAGTTTATATTTAAATATTATTACACTTTCTTGTTTCAATACATTTTGTTTTTTTGTATATGAAATGAAATTATTATTCCATGCAATTATTTCAAGTTTCAAAAGAAATAAAAAAATATTTTTGAAATAAAATTTTCGTTCATGGAATTATTAAAAATAAATGTTTTTTTAATATAAATATACACGCATTATTAATCATTAATGAAGATAAACGATGTTGATGAAATTTTTCAACCGTATCTGAAATTTTTAATGGAAAAAAATATATGTATTTCTTTTTGACGTTTTAAAATGTTAGGAAAATTGAATGGGGATAATTTATTAAAAATG